GCAGTTTTTATTTTATAGGACTCCACTTTATTCTACTTCATTATGCTAACACAAAACTCGCTTTGACACCACAACAAAACGATATCACATATGAACATATCAACGGGATAAAGGGGTAAACATTGGATAAAAATTAACATCCCTGTAATGCAATTAATTTAAAATTACATTTTGGTTTCACAGTAACTGTTTTATAAATATACATGCTATTATCTTAAAGCAACCTATTTTTCAAGTCATGTATATAATTTATAAATTTTATTTTGACCTCATGATATAAAAGTTTGAGAGAATTCTGATAACATATACGGAGATCATTAAAAAAAATTAGCGCGGTAAGGAAATCTGACAAGGACGACAAAATAGATTTTGACGCCAAGAAGGAGCAGCAAGAGACCTTTACGCTATGTAAAACTTTTTTTACAGACTGACCAACCTGCTTAAACAGAAATAATGCCAAAAACTTGTCTACGGGTTTGTTATTGTATTGGTATATATATATATATATTTTTTTTTAAATTACCTAGAGGAAAATCTAAAGCTCCGGACGATCATCAAATTTTACCGTAAAGATATAAATAATATTGATCCGCGTTGTATAAATCGGCACTGCATGATGCCAATCCATCCTATATGACAAATTTTCAGTAGTGTAGCAACAGCACATATCTTATTTTTCAAGATTTTTTAAGAAAAGAGACGGATTAATTTGTATTGAATATGATATCAAAGACAGCAGAGTAAACGCTTCCCGATCGTTTTACATGCGAAAATATCTCCGGTTGACATGACGTTAAAATGATCTTGCGATGCCGCTACAGGTAGACAGACATACGCATGTTTAATAATTTATAGAATTATCCTACAGAAATTTTGTATAATTTATTTACTCGTTCTCTATAAAACGTTGACGGATTTTCCTGAATTCATCTCTGTCCTTCATGTAGTTAAAGTAAATGTCTCAATAATTTCCAAACAGCCCTCGTAAAGAGATTATTTATGTAGGGTATACAAAAATTAGAAATGATTAACTTCACAAACAAATAAATGTTATACCTGAAACGGTGAAGTAATTTCATAGTTGCTTTTTTGCAGGCGGCTTAATTTTACGGTGAAATTTAATGTGATGGGCTTTATTAGTTTTTAAGGTCTTCCGTTTCCAACGGAAGACCTTCTACTGATTCTGTTGGTAAAGATTATTATTCTTTTTTTTTCTTCTACTTCCTATACGCCAACTTTGAAGCCTCATATCTCACTCATTTATCGATTGATTTCGCTCAAATTTTCAGAGGTTCTAGAAGTTACTTAACTCTATCAAAATACTGTCAAAAAATTTCAAAAAGTCACTTCCGGTTTTGAGTTATTTCCCTTTGAACGAAAAGTTATAGGCTTTCGTTTCCAGACAAAGGTTCGGAGACAGCTAAAGCTGGAGCAGAAATTCTACTGATTTTAGATAATAAAAGGATTGAAGTTGTGCACATCGGTTTTTGTTTTTCGATTTCCCTATTCAAAATGGCGCTATATAGGGGTAAAAAATTGGAACGCTTAAAAGAGCCAAAAATTACTCATATTTTGCCTTTTATCTTCTAAACTAAAAATATTTTGTTAAAATATATAGAACATAATTTGTGCAGAATTAAAAGATCTTTCAAATGATATCTCGGAAAAAGGGCTGGCCCATAAAATTAACGGCCAAGAGGGGCCAAAAGTTTTTCCTTTATATCTCAAAAAGTATTGAGAATTTGTAATAGGTCAAAGAAGCAAAGTTGTTCAAAATGTAAAACTCAATCTATTGAGGTCGTCAAAGTATGTCCGGTGACGTCACTACCGGCCAAACCGGAAGTAGTCGGAAAACGCATATTTTGCCATTCTTGACAAGTTTTTGGGTAACGTCTGTCACTGGGAGCATAAAAATCAATTTTCCGTCTGTCGTCGTCATTTCCGGTCTAACCGGAAGTAGCAAAAAATGGCTGATTTTTGCATTAAGTAACATAGATTTCGAGGATTTAAACAATTTTAGGACGTTATTACTCATTTTTGTAAAAATTAAAGTTACTTCCGGTCAAACAGGACGGAAGACCTTCTCGTTGCTTTGCAACGAGCTTTGCTCTAGTTTTATTTCTAATTTTTATTGATATTCTGATGTAGCATTAAAAATATTTCAGGACTGAAGAATGATGAAATTAGATTCTAAATATGGCTTGTCTTACATGTATAAAAGTTTTCAAATATTTTTGCAGTTTGTACTCCTGGGAGATATGGAAAAGATTGCAAAGAGATGTGTCACTGTGAAAGAAACGAGTTATGTAATCAAAGCAATGGATACTGTTCTGGGTCATGTGATCGAGGATATTATATGGATAAATGTCCAACAAGTAAGATCAAAGTCTTGAACAATTTTGATCTGAAATATAAATGATTAATGGTGAAAAGATTCAGCATTCTAATTCTATAGCAATTTTTATGTGAATTTTTAATTTGAGGGTACATCATGTCCTTGACAATTTGCTTTAAAGTGTGACAAGATACGTACATTAAGTTTTCGAAATATCAAACTGAAATATGCATTCTTGACCATGAATTAAAGATAATTTTTATTGTAAGCATTTGTTCTTTATAACTTAAAAAAAATGTTATATATTGAAAAACGTCAATACCTATGTTCAGCATCGCTGTTGATCCATAGTAAGAGCAAACATAATTAAGGTCTTCCGTTTCCAACGGAAGACCTTATTGTTTTCGTTCGGTTTCTTTTTTTTCTATTATTCTTTTTTTTCTTACCGATTTTTGTGCACGCGAGTTCTCGGAAACGGCTCAGTCGATTTTCAGGAAACTTTTAGATCTGATAGATATTGGTCTGAACCTTATTGGAATTTGTTTATTTGTACGTCGTCACTTCCGGTCGTGAGATATGGACGATTTTGTGATTTTCAGAGGGTCAGCTTGTCCAGGCAATCACTAAAAAACGAATGAAGATATTGAGTTGAGATTTTCAGTGTAGGTAGAGGAAGGATAGTATAATTGCTTTTTTGAGTCTATATCTTTCCAGCGCAAAAGAATTTGAAGCTCGCATGGGCTCGAAAAATAGACTCACAATTATCTCGCAAATTTTGATACGTTTTCTTTTATATCTTTGTACCAGTAAATAATTTGTTAAAGAATATATAATAAAAGTTGCTAAGAATTACAAGTTCTTTCATTTGATAAGAAGAAAAAGGCTCTGATCCCTCAAATAAGGGGCATAGAGGGGTCAGAACGTTTTGATTTATAACTCTTAAGCTATCAAGAATTTGTTATAAATTTCTGAAGCAAAAATGTTTATCTTAACAATTTGAAACAATATTTTGTAAAAACATGATCATATGTTACGTAATTAGGGGCTATAAGGGGCCAAAATGCTAATTCTTTGCTTCTTTATACACATGTTTCTCGAAAAGGAGAAATATTTTGATAAGCAGTATTGCATAAAAGATGCTCAAAATAAATAATGTTACCAATATACAACCATTCAATTTTTGCAAAACGACCACATTAAGGACTTGAAGGGCCGGCCCCTATATATTTCTATTTTACATAGCTTGAAAACAAAGAGAAAGTTGTGAATACTTATTGAACAAAAAATCTTTCAAATCACGAGCCTTATCATTTGATATGAAGACAAATGGTCTGACCCCTTAAATAAGGGGTCTAGAAGGGCTAAGACTTTCATCTATTACTATTAGATAATGTTATCTTCATCAAAAGAATTCCATCCAAAGAGAGAAAACTTGAAATCATTGTTTTAACAAAGATAATAGTCAAAATCATATCATATCTTATCGAAAAATCGGACGGAAGACCTACTCGTTGCTGGCAACGAGATCTCATCTAGTTCAAATTATTGTTTGTTTTGGTTTGTTTTTTTTTTGTTTTTTTTTTGTTTGTTTGTTTGTTTGTTTGCTTTTGTTGTTTTTTTTTAGACCTTATTTTAATCAAGTTTGTTAAAAATTTGAAAAGTAATACGGATATTCAAAAAAATAAATATGGTTTCGACAACAAAACAATAACAATGAGAAATTTCGGCATCATTATTATTGTTATTGGTATATATTTGTCCCTACAAATATTCAACCAGAATAAAAACGGTTTCTCCATACGACCACCAATTAGTTCGGGCTAAATAACGTTGACAGGTAAAGTCCTGTAAAAGAATCAATAATCTATAAAGTAACAAATGGTATTTAATGTATGCAATCATCATATTTTTGACACAGAGCAGCTTGTAATCCCTGGATATACTTTGGCAACTAGTAGTTCTGTTGATCATGAATACGTTGGAAACCCAAAAAAGACAGTGGATGGAGATTTCAGACAAAGACCTTATATTCACTGCTTGCATACAGCTCGCTGGCAAAAGGAGGCTTGGCTAAAGATTGACCTTCGCAAAATATACAATATCAGCTATGTCAAGTTTTGGTATAGAAATGACAGCAACAGTAAGTTGTTATTATGTTTCATTGCAATATTATTATTTGCATCATGGAGAAAACATTATCTCAAACTTACTTTTAAATTAGGTTTGACATTTGTGAAGATCTTTTATGCTACAAGTACAAAGTCTGCGTTAGATATTAGAATGATTTTTTTTTCTGATTTGATAAATATGGTTTGGGTCATGATATCTATAATTAATACAAGATGTGTTTTTTTAGATTATCTTTAATTAATCTCATATATTCTAATTTCGTGGCGCTGGTGAATTTTTTTTTAGATTAATTCAATATTTAAGATTTCACGTTAAAAGACTAGACATAGAATTGGTGTTACACATTTTATCACTTTCTCAATAGATTTGAGGAGATAACGAGCAGTATTCAAGATCAAAAGTCCATAGAACAATAAAAGATAGGAGCAGAGAAAAAATTGACCTTTAAAACCTCAGAGGTTGGATCAGGTGCCATGGATGAGTAATATGTTTACTGGTCACACCAACCGTGTGCTCCATGTCATGATCGGAAAATAATGGAAAAATCTGTCGTCAATTGAGTTTTAAAATCTTGCCTAACAATTAGTATAAAAAATGTCAGTTAGCATTTGACTCAAAGATAAATGTTATTTGCTGGCAAGGTCATTGGCTTACGTAATAATTTTATGCATAAACACCTTCGGCGTTTTTGCAAATTATCACACAAGCCAATCGATTGATCACATCATGAAATTGCAATATAAGACAATTATTCCTTAAATAATCAATACCAGACTACTATCAAAGACCTACATATGATAAACACATATTTTTAATATTTAATTTTATTATTTTATTTGAGTTGGCAGTGGTAAGCCAGCAATCTGGCATACCCCAAAAATCAACAATAAGTTTTGCCCTCCCTGACGGGAAACGTACCAGGCTGGGTTGACCTCATTCCTGCAACAGACACATTTCAACACACATTATCTTTTATTATATTATTTTGCCTAGTAAATTTACATTGCATAAGATATAATTTTCAATGTCAGCATCACATATATCAACATTAACCATCACATATATCAACAACAAGCACAAAAAGTCAACAATATCAACAGTTCAATATTTAAATTTAACGTGCCCATTTTGCCAGTACGACCATTATAAAATTATACTCTACTGTCTTTTCCCGAACTCCCCAATTGGATAATTCGCAAAATTCGCCATTAATTGTGACCTGGCTGTTTTGCCCCAGATCATTCAAAAGGTCCAGGTAAACGGAAATATCCTGCAGGTCTGATTAACATCGTCAGTCTTCTTCAGCGACACCTCTTATATCTGAAAAGACAAAATCAAAAACCCACAGCAGAAAAGATAATCAATAGCATTGTCATAACTGTCAATAAATTGGATAGAGCTACATCACGTAAAATAATGTAAAAGTAAGGTAGACAAACGAAAGGAGAAGGGTAATATTACTTAAATACCTAGATCAAGGGTTGTGGTGGGAGGGTATTTCATAATACCAAAATATAGATCGGATACTTTCATTACCCACCTTTCGGTTTCATTGATGCATAGAAAATGGGAGATACACTGTAACCCGTAAACACAGTGATTCAGTACTGACACATTATGGATAGATAAATTCCGACCTGAATCATTTATTAGTTTTTTTTCACAAAAAATGATGGTGAATGATGACATATATTAAAGGGGTAGAGCTTTGATGGCGACGGATATAATGAGATGAAATCAAGTATGCGGTATCATTGCATAGTGTTTAAAGAAAATATATAGCGTAATCAAACTCTTCTGAAATAAAGTGCACGGTTTCTTTTTCTCATAAAAATTTGTCAGCACCCACGCCAATGATCGAACTCACGACCCTACGATTGTCGATATTGATAGATGTTTATTTGGTGTACTAAATATGCGTTGTAACAATGCATTTTTGACAATATAAAAGTTTGGCACTAAACAAAAGAATTTAAACATCGGAATCAATCAGTTTTCGAAAAACATGAATTTAATTCACATTTGTATACGAAGGATAACCCATGAAAACCAATGGCTTATTTCCAATGGGGTCCTTATACTCATACATTTAAACTGGATGTTGAATGAAATGAACATAAAAATATAAATACTATAGCTAAGATTTGGGATCAAGTTGACAACACAGAAATCCTTAAAATTAATTGTAGTATGTATGTAGTAGTATGTCCCAAATCTTGTAATCAAAACAACTAATAATGAAAATAAAATAATTGAACACGACTTGACACAGGGCAAATGAAGGCAAACTTATTTCCAGTATTTGAGACAGGTTTTATTTCTGCTGGTAACATGTTCCAGTCTTTGATTCCATTTAAATAAAATAACTCATCTTGTTTATGCTTAATACATGGTACAACAAAATCTAATTTTGACCGAAGTTAAAAAATATTCGTTAAGATAAGAGGCTTTTCCTTGAAAAATATTAAAAACATGGTTAGATCTAAGCTGTGAGACTCTCTCTTAAATATTTTATAAATATAGTTGTTCAAGTATTTAATTTAATTCACAGATACCCGTGGACCTACCTATATGCAAAATAAATCGAACCATTTTGTTTTGGCTTTTTCTTTAAAGAATTGGAGAGCGCTTCATACATGTACCAAGCTCTACTGGCGTAATCAATATGACATTGTATTAATGCTGAACACAGAGTCATTTTACAAAAAGTATTCAAAAACGGGCTTCTTGGTACAAAAATCGCAATCTATTATTAACTTTCTTAACAATCGATTGAACAATGCATTCATCACTTAAACATTTGTCATTCAAAACTCCAAGATATTAACTTTTTTTCTATAATCAATATTTTGGTCATAATATACATGAACATCCTCGAATTTTTCAACATTTTGAAGCTTTTTTTGGAACCAAATAAAATGCATTCAGTTTTACCTAAATGTAACGATGATTTATTATCTACAAGCCAATGCTAAATCTGGTCTAAATTTTTACAAAGCTTTTTTGATATAAAATCAGGATCTTTATGTGCAAATAAAATAGCACTGTCATAAAAGTATAAAAAAAAAGTTTACAATCTACAATAACACCAGCTACCATGTCAAAGGAATGAATGAAAAGGTTCTCGACGTGCTATCAATTTCACCACAGGCGGCGAGGTTATCTAATTCAAAGTAGTATGATATAAATTAACTTAGCTTTAAATATTTAAGACTAAAAAAAATAGAAGTACTGTGAGCAATGAGCTTACTAAATAATACCCCCGCCCCGATATGAATATAATGGCCGTATCCATATTTTGCTATGGGAAACCCATAATATGTCTCTTATCAAAATGTAAAATAGGAGGTGCACAACGGCAATATGTAATAGCGATTCTGTGAAAGTGTCATCAAATCTCAGTCAGTGGTATGAGAGGAGGTGTGGATAAAAAATGGTACCCCAATGAGTAACAGACTGATTGACGGAAATACCTATTTCTATATACCCTCCGGCTTTACAAGTTATAAAAATAAAAGGTTTTCTATCAAATATATTTCTGATCCCCTCATTTCACTCAACTATAAATCTCTTAAACTATCTGTATAGTATACCTTATGCCTGAAATATTCAAAATTATAGAAAAAAAACATTGCGTACATGTAGCACGAGATGACATCATAGTAGTGGTATGCGAACAAAAATAGAAGATGTTATAAAATATTGTAAATGGAGATTGACTGATTGATTGTATTTTGTTTAACGTTACTGTCGAGAATTTTTCACTCATATTTTGCATGGGGTTAGCAAGGGCTGAAAATTCTCAAAGTTTCACCTAACTACATAGCAGCTAATCCCACCACCGTTTTTAGAGGTCTAAACGAGGTTTAAGAGATTTCTCTGCTCCTATTTGTATAATTGTTTTATGGACTTTGATGTTGAATACTGTTCGTTAGCTTAAATATATGTTAAATAATACTGCATGTTTTATACAAAAATACATATCAGTGAATTCTTTGTGCATAAATTCTGTGAAATCAACATTTTTTATTAGAGTATTACCCGTTGCCATGCAATATTGACTGTTGCTACGCTGGAGGGCATGGCTTCTTTTTTTCCGCGGGTAATAGTGTTTGTTAACAAATGTTTCTCGACGAATCAGATTCAACCAATTTACATGAAAGTTTAATATTATTAGATAGCTTACATGTTAATATCCTCTCTTTAAAATGGTAAGTGGCAGTTTATGGTATCACTTCAGATCCCTCACTACCTAACACAAGGAGGATACAAGGGTACACCATGAGTCTTTCAAACACAAGTAAAACTCCGGAAACATGTTTTCAACACAATGGAAATGATAACCTGCCAACAATTATCGAAAACAATTGCAAAGGAGTAGCAGAGAACGTATGGATCAAGACAAATAAATGGTTTTCCGATGGAGTTATCCTGGAAATATGTGAAGTGCAGGTTTATGGTAAGATGTTTGTTTCATTTTAAATGTATACATACCTGATTCTAATTCTTGCAATTTTACATTGGATTTTAATGCTTGCTGACATTTATACTTAGATGTTTGCTAATCTATTGAGCGAGTATAATATTGATAGGTTCCATCAAAGCAAGTGACATAAATGCTAGAATTAATACAATTTAAAACTACCTTTATGTGAAAATTCGTGATTTTCATTTAATTTATTTATTTTCATTTTTTTTTCACCTTATTTATTTTATAACTTTTTTTTGCAATCAGTTTCAAATTATTCATCAAGAAGATACTCTCGATAAATAATAATTTCCACACAACAGGTTTCCCCATATTTATCATGAATACCCGGGTGCGATGAGGGATGATTTGTCTGCATCAGCTAAAGCTAGAACTTAAAATAAACAATACAATACTAGAATACAATATATCTGACAGAAACACGCGTCTGACCTTGTCTGCAGCTAACAAAAAAAAAGAGGGCGAGGAACTGTAAACGTCACAATGGGTGTAAAATGAGTGTACTATGTAATCGAAAACCCTCTTCACTCTTTCAGTTCGCCTTGGCTAAATCTATTTGAACCGTGGTTATAAGGTAATGACATTTGTACAATAGTCAAATTTGGCAATAATCATCTCTATTTTTAATGGTTTCAATATTGACACCTACTTTCAAGGGAAGAGTAGATAAATTTGAATACGTATACTATCAGTTTTAAAAGGTAACTTAATGAATACATTTATTATAGAATATGTTCAGATGCTGTCGTCTGGCATTTGGAAATTTTTTAATCAATTTTTTTGGTTCGTTTTTTTTTTTTTGGTAAACAGGGTTTCATATGGAATCCGGATAGGGCTACGCAGTTCACTATCGCATCATCGTACCATCGAGACTTGAGTCGATGGTGCGATGACGCGATAATGCGATGACACTGAAACGAAGGTGCGATGACGATGATGCGATGGCGCGATAGCGCGACGACGATGATGCGATGGTACGATGGAGCGATAATGCGATGACGCGATGGCACGATAGCGATGATGCGTTGGTGCGATAGCGATGATGCGATGGCGCGACAGTTATGATGCGATGCTATATCGTGCCATCGTTATTGCTTTATCGCGCTATTGACATCATGTCATCGCACCATCGCTCTATCGACTATATAGATAGGATGGCATTCTCAGCAGGTAGTTAATTCGAGCAAAGATTTGATTGCCCAGTGATAATTTACTGACTTTAATTTTGTATTTGATAATCATATTTTAAATAACAAACACGAAGTACCAAGAGGAGAGAGGGAGGAAGACTTTTGTTTTGTATTTGCTTTAAATTTTCTTGATTGTGAATACTGTATTTAACGGTGCTAAAATTTCATGCTATCTCAGAAAGTACAATAGCGATGGAAAAAATTAATCTAAATTTAATATAAGCATTTACTTGTTTTAATAGTTAATGATAGCATTCACGATGGGTTTAATTTTGCGGAAAATAATGAATCGCGAACATAGTGAAAGTAAAACCATCGTAATTATTTCCCACGTAATTATTTCCCAATCTACAATATTAATCCCACCCCCCTTTTAGAAACCAAAATCTAGATCAGGCGGATTTCGATTTCTTTTACATCATTCACAACATAAGTGTATTGTTAACTTTATCTTGATTATCAAACTATATTTTAACAATCTTCTAACTTGTTATATGTCTGGCAATAAAGACATGGTTAATTTTTTATGCCAAGTGAAGTTAATTCACCCAGTAAGATCTATTTCCGATATGTATTCTGTTCATACTTTTACAACCTGACGCCATTTCTCTTCTCAATGGCGCATGCGCAAAAGACTCGATAGCACGATAGTGCGAAAATGCGATGACGATAGTGCGATAGAGCACTGATGATGACACGATAGAGCATCGCTTCATCGTTATCGCGTTATCGTATCATCGCTATCGCACCATCGCAGCATCGCTTTCGTGCCATCGCGTCATCGCTTTATCGCTCCATTGCACCATCGCTTCATCGTCATCGGAGTATCGCGCCATCGCGTCATCGTCATCGCGCTATCGCACCATCGCTTCATCGTTATCGCTTCATCGTTCCATCGTCATTGCATTATCGCGTCATCGCACCATCGACTCAAACCTCGATGGTGCGATGATGCGATAGTGAACTGCGTGGCCCTGTCTCGATGGTACGATGATGCGATAGTGAACTGCGTGGCCCTATCCGGATTCCATAGTTTCATGGTAACTTTGTTTAACGACTTGTATTCAAATAACGGTACAATTCATAAATATAACTTTTGACCAAAGGTGATGAAAAAGAAGCAATTAAGAAAGAAATACTGGCGTCCATAGCCAAGTAGCCGTACTCGTACATGTGCTGTGTTTCTGATCTTTATCAAATAATTATATCTGTTTGTGGCGTCCATAGCCACGTAGCCGTACTCGTACATGTGTTGTGTTTCTAATCTTTATAAAATAATTATATCTGTTTGCTAGTTATTGAACGTCCCTCTCGAAATTTTTTACTCATATGGAGATGCCGGTGGATAGCTGCAAATTTTAAGCAAGGAGTGATATTTTTTTGTTAGCACCTACTGCGAGACGGGACATCGGTTTTTATGGTCTCATCCAAAGACCGGTCTCCAAGTCACAGTGGGATTCGAACCATCGACTTAAGGATCAGTGCCTTACTTTGCAACTTTAGAGCAGATGCCTTAACCATTGCACAATAACATTTGTAGATTCAACTTCTAGTATACTTTGAAATTTTGAATTGTTTTCATTTTTTTAATAACAACTTTCGGAGTTGCAAAATTGACCAAAAATATTATTTATGAGAATCATTTCCTAGATGTAACTGATGTCTGAAACATAGATTAAGCATTTATTTTAAGCTTTTAATTGCTGTCAGGTCATGGTTCCAATTATGTCTAAATTTTCAGATATGGAAAACCCTTATATTAAATAAATGTAAATATTATCTATCTTAGGCTCTTGCTAGTCGTATCATGATTTTTTAAAAGAGGCCCTTTTTAACATCTCTGTTAATAAGTAAATTACTTGAAGGTCTCTTAGTACAGACTGGTTATTTGACTTGTTATTTGTTTAAAGGATGGTGATGCTTGTTTTAACACTGAAAATTGACTTTTTAAAAATATTTTTGACTTCTCTCGATAATTTTTGTGTAGTTGGTGCTGGGATTTTAATAAATATAATAAATTTCTATACACGGTAATTGCACAGAGAGGAAACTTTTGCGTATCAGCACCTTCGGTGATACGATACCGAAGGACTGGTCTCCACGTCCAAGAGTTGAATTCAAACTCGCGACTTATCGATCAACTCTTTACTTTTCGACCTTATAACAGATGCTCTTACCTCAGAGCTACTCGGGCAAAATTTCTTAAAAGAGGAATTAAAAAAGAATTATATCTGTAACCATGTATTTACGTACTACATATGTACATTCTTAAAAATATTAACACACTAGCGGTTTGAAAGTTGTTTACGATAGAGGTGAAATAAGTACTTCTTGTCTCTGCTTATTCTACGGTTCGTCATAGTTCCTTGAGATACTTTATGACATATAGTTACTGGGGTATCATACATGTTTTTCTTATGACAAGACCTTCCTTATATTTCACATTTTGACCTTTACATAAGAGTTTGACTCATGTTCCCTAAGTCTTCACCACTACTTTTTACCGTTACGTGTTCAGGCTTTCATTCCATTGACAACATTTTTTTTCTTTGAAAAACAAATAATTTCTTCGCTTGATCAAGTTTAACTTGCATTTGAGATACTCCAACCTTCGCCAAAACTGTCATACGGGAATATCATTGTTACACAAAGTTTTACACATTTTGATTCAAATTGTTATATTTTTAATAAAGTCTGACAACACTGTCTGAACATTTTTTTCTTCAAATGTCCACTTTTTTAAAACATAAATTACCCTTCCTATCCTGCTTCACTCCGGCGAATTCTTTTTGAACCTAATTCCTTGTACATCGTGTCAACAAATCGCTTGAAATACAGTTCAAATTGGCACTGCAGATTTTCACAAAAACTTTTTTAACTTTCTTTTAATGAAAGGTTGTTCGTACCAGGAAAGCAGTGGACCTTGTGTCCGTTGCAACCAGTGTAAGGCTGGATGCAAAGACAACGGGGAATGTGATGAATCCGGTTGTAAGATGAGTGGCTATCTTCCTCCATATTGTAAAGGTAAGTTAACACCCATATATATGGATTCATGTAAATGTATTTTATTGATTAGTTAATTGATTGTACATGTATATTGTTCAATGTCCCTTCCGAGAATTCTTCCCTCATATGGATACAACACTGCTTTTACCGGTGGAGAGCTGCAAATCTGTCCTATACTTGGCATTTGAGCAGTGAGGGATCTTTTCCAGCACCTACTGCAACACGGGACATAGGTTTATACCGTCTTATCCAAAGGACCGGTTTCCAATGTCCAACAGTGGGATTCGAACGCGCTACCTAAGGTTTAACTACTTATTTTGCAACTCTACGTACATCAGATACTCTTTTGTACTTGTGATGAAACAGAGATTCTTCGGGTTAATTAAATTCCACATATGCACAATTCATTGCTTTGTAAAGAAAAAAAGACTACCCATGGATTGATAAGCCTTGTATTTTCATTTCTTGATTATATTTTTAAAGGAAATCAAGAAAGAAACAAAAACTAAATGTTTTCTTGATGGAAATATCAGTAATTTCTTCCCACTCAGAAAACAGCATTTTCACAAAAATCAAAAAAAAAGAATAAAACATGTTTTTGCTTTTGTCCACCAAAATATTAATTTGAAAAAATAGAAGGATGTGGAGATCACGAACAGCATTCAATATCAAAGTCCATTACAATAGGAGCAGAGCAAACACGGAGCTCTGAAACATCAGAGGTAGAATTAGGTGTCATGGGGGAGTGAGCATTCACTGCTGACCGGTCACACACACAGTGTGCTCCTTGTCATGATCGGGAAATAACGGAGAGGTCCTTCGTTAATTCACTGTACATGTATAAATAGTGGACAAACAATGAGTATGAAAAAGTCAGCATTTGACTCAATGATAAATTGTCATTGTATCGAACTTACCAAATGATTTCTTTAAACGAGACAGTTGATATTCTTTTTTCATCACCTTACTTGTCAATATTTTACTTCGTTTTAGAAATTGTTCATATGTACATGTATAGCATGCTCTTGCGTATCGAATCAGCTGAGATATATATACTCCTAATATCACCAGCTCACCAGGATATATCGTTTCGCGTAGGAGTAGAAATTACCATCGTTTATTGACAATATGTCGTCAATATATCTAAATATCGAAATGTATTACATATTTGAAATAATTTTAGATTACTAATTTATAATTATAAATCAAAATGTGTATGTTGTAATATTCGGATATGTAATCTTTAGAGAATGCATATATGGATAAAAAGTAAATATCTTGAAAATTTCCGAACAACCGTCGTATGAGAAAAATGCTAGATGTGGCAGCAGCTATTCGATGTTATTTGCCAAGGTCCTAACTTGATCTTCCTAAATATATACGGGCCAAAGCGCAAACCAATATCAAACCAACCTCCAAAATGTGTTTGGCGTTATAATGTGTTTATTAATTGACAGAAAAGCAAGCAATTATACAGAAAGACGGACAGGCAGGACAAAAATATACATCTGGAATATTCAAATGCGTGGGAATAATGAATAAATCAAGCAATTAATTTGCTGTTTAATGCAGCATTAGAGGTCCGATATGTGTCTTGATCTTATACTTCTTAAGGTTATTTATTTAAAAACATGAAACAAGTGATTTCGCAATGAATCTAATTTGTCTCCAAGACTAGTTTCCCGCATACAATATTTACATGTAACACTGTTTCGTAAAGGGGTAGGCGGGGGCGGAAAATCTTAATCCTCAAATTTTTGCTCATTTCCAAATTTTTGATACTTACTCTTTGTGAAAATTTTAAAAACAACCTAATGGCATGTGCAATGTCTTCTTAGAGTGATCTGAAGTTGTCTTTATGCAATATTTTATTTCAAAATGATATTTGTTTTGTTATTATTTACACACGTAAAATCTGCCAGAAATGTCATCTTCCTCTGTATGCAAAACACGTGGCCTATTGATAAGGACTAGTAGAATCCAAAGGAAGAAAAATCAAGAAAATTTTGACATTTTTTAAAACATCGAACATTGTTTATAAAAAGTTTATTGACAATTTCTAAAAAGTGATTGAAGTAAGATGGAATTGGTCATAATATTTTTTCAGTAATACACGTGTACGTGGATACATGTGCATGTACTATGCTTTTTTAATTTGAATATTTTGAATATTTCAGAATGTAAAAGTGGAAAATTTGGTAAGGATTGTACTTCTACCTGTGGGCATTGTTCCAATGATGTTCCGTGCAATAAAGTGAATGGGTCCTGCCCTGAAAACTGTGCACCTGGATGGAAAAACACATCAGACAGGAAATGCAATCAAGGTATGCACTTAGACTACCGTATAGCGGGTTTTCTTGGCGGGTGTAAAATTTGGCGTTTTGCCTACTCAAAGGTATGCCAATAATTTTGGCGTAATTTATTTTAGCGGACGCGCGGTTTCAGCTCTTGACAGATGGGCACTAAAAAGATTACTGACTATTTTAGCGATTAAAATTTTAGCGGACTATCATCAAAATGCTAAAATAAGCCAAAATTAGCACCCCGCTAAAATTACCCGCTATACGGTATATGACAAAAATGTATGCTGTACAAGTAACTGCTTTTCAAAAAGCTTGCCCGACTAATGCCATCAATATCCATAGAACCTATGAATAGTTATAACCAGTAACATGGGGTGGGGGGGGGTCAAATTGTTTCACTAAAGTTATGAAGACGTTGTAAACTGAATCTTCATTCATTTTAAGCTGTTTGCTACTCATCAGAGAAATTGAAATGTAACAAATTTTATATAAAACGTAAAAGGGAAATACAGTACATGTACATGCTTGTCAGGGGCCTGCCCCCCCCCCCCCCCAACTTTTTTACCCAATCTTCCCTATACTATAGAAATTTTTAATTTAAAACCTGGTTGCCCCCCCCCCCCCCCCACTTTTAGTGTTATGCCGAAAATGTAGTATTAGAATTGGTACTGAAAGTAGTTAACACTGAGAAAAAGTTAACCTACCCCCCCCCCCCCCACACACACACACGAAATAGGATTTTTACGGAAGCCTGTTGGTGCCACGTACGAAAAATATTTTATCTGCCGGCCGCCATTTATTATTTGGCGGCCGCCACTTGTATATCTGACGGCCGCCAGATAATTATGTGGCGGTCGCCACTTATTATTTGGCGACCGCCACTTATATATCTGGCGGCTGCCACTTAATATATGGCAGCCGCCAAATAATTTTAATGGCGGCCGCCATATAATTAATCTGGCGGCCGCTATATAACATCTGGCGGCCGCAATATAATATGTGGCGGCCGCCACATAATTTATCTGGCGGCCGCCACATATTTAATTGGCGGCCGCCAAATATTTATCCGGCGGCCGCCACTTATATATCTGGCGGCCAAAACATAATATTTGGCGGCCGCCACATAATTTATATGGCGGCCGCCAGGTAACACCTGGGTTCCTGATGCGCGCGCATGTTGTAATGTGTGGTTATAGGTGGATACAGTGAACCAACACTCCAATCCACACTTCTAGTTGATTTGGTTTTCCATTGAGCAGATTAATATTTGATTTAGATTATGCAAGTATTTGTAGAGAGTTTCGGTTATTTATTTTTTTTTTGCTTGTCAAATTCATTCAGGTATGTAATTTTTTTTTCTCTGGCTGCCCCCCCCCCTTTCAAAAACGATGCTACGCCACTGCATGTGGATTACATTTGAATATAAATATGAGTATAGTTATGATACATGTATAACATGATATTGAAGATTTTTAAAAACCAAGAAACAAAACAAGAAATTGGGAATCGTAACGGTTATGACTAGCATTCAGAATATGTTAACTAGTTTGTTGGGCATGCCAAATCATCAACGGTTGTTGGGAACGTGGGAAAAATATAAAGCCCGAAATGCATGAATGTCCAAAAACTAGACGACAGGGCGCGGATCAGGATGTTTTTTTTTGGGGGAGGGGGTCCACGTCAAAAAAATTGTACTAGCAAAAACGAAATAAACTTTCTCAATCCTGAAACGTGCGGGGGCACTTTCCTAAGACTATTTTTCTGCTTTTATAGGAGAAAAAACTGGAGAGGGGGGATATGATCAGATGTATATGTATATTTGCCCAGTTCATCTTCTCAAGAAGTTTTTGTTCGTTTCGTGTTTATTACTTTAAATGATGTATCACAAAATTTTTTTTTCGAAAGCCCGTTGGAGATTCTGATAAAAAGAATAGACTTTATATATAATTTATGCAGTTTTCGTTTCAATAGAATAGTCCAAGGGTGTGTTCGACAGCGTATCGGCTAACCTAGCAGCTAAGTAGTAGATATCTGTCTCTATTGAACGGACAGCAATCTAGCTGTTAAATGTTAGATTTTGAATAAAGATATATCAGTAAAAACTTATTACTGGATCAAATAAAGTTTATTTCAGGTGAAAATATGTATTTAAATTTACATTTAATTCACTTAAATATAAGAAATAACCCTCCTTTTTGTAAAAATCTTGAATGCTCCAAATTTGTAACCAAGGAAACCATCTTGGATTTGGGACTTAGCATTAAATATTTATGATAGCTCTCACTACGTAGCGGCTAGTTAAGCTCTCAGTTCAAGAGCGTAGCTTTACGTAGCGGCTATATGGCAGCTACGCTGTTGAATGCACCCCAGGAAAAGGGGTGCAAAGACTTACACGTGATATTTGGCGCGAAATCCTTTACCTTGAAGACAAATGGACTAATCCAGTAGTACAAAAACGCAGAAAAAAGGTCAATCGGACATGTCCGTATAGGAACTTGCATGAAATAAGCAGCTGCATACAAAAACTACTGGAAATAACACGTCATTATATTGTATTAGTAATAAGGTTATTTTTCAACTGTGGTTGTTGAAACGCAGGTAACAAAACCCGATGATAATCAGCATGTACAAAATTCTGCTGACTAACTGTGACCTCTTGGCTTCGCACCTAAAAAATATTGATTCTTAATAGTGCCTGACGCCGTGACATCAGGCAATAAATCTGTAACTGTTGAAAGATACCTCAGGGAAAACCATTGTCAAACAGCGAGTGGTGTACACTCATCTAGAAAGTCAATGGCTTCTTATCTACTCTTTTACGATAAACCCTAATACATTTGACTTTCGTTGGGTTTACAATTGCCAAATCTAACACGACTAAACATTGTGAATTAAAAATGTAAACATAGTAAGTCAATTTCATATACGATAGCTAATATTAACATGAAAATAAGTTTATTGTTATGTGTAAAATAGTTTGATTAATATTTACATGTATTTAAGAAACAAATCCAGCTAATGCGTGTGAAGTATAATGTGTCATTTAGCACTAGAATAAACATGTTTTTTTTTATTTGTATGTAATGTTGAAATGTAAAATAATAAAAGATCGAACATTGCAATTGTTGATGGTGATCTTAAATTCGATAAAATCGTCAATATACGATTTTAGGCAAAAATCTATGTAAATAGTTAATGTTTGTGCAAGGGAAGAAGGGGAGAGGGATACATGTAAATCACCAAAAACAAGTTTGAGGAGCAAAATAAATACAGTCATTGTTTTCCAGGCTTATGTAATTTCTATTTCATACCGGTTATTTGCCATAAAAGAAGGGAAAACATTTGTTTACATATTGCTCTGTCTAGAACACTTTTTCAGTGTAAGAGGGATTCTGCACGCCTGAAGTACAAGGGTAAATGTTAAAAGAGTTTACCTGCCTCTAGTGTCAATCACTGATTCGACGCCTATTAAAATCATTCCAACATTTCTTTGAAATGTTTACATATACGAGTCATTCGATTGATTGATTGATTGATTGGTTGATTGATTATTGTTTAACGTCCCTCTCGAGAATTTTTCACTCATATGGAGACGCTACCACTTGCCGGTGGAGAGCTGCAAATTTTGTCCTATACTCGGCACTTAGGGCCATTGAGCAGGGAGGGTTCTTTTTCGTTCCAGCACCTACTGCGACACGGGACCTCGGTTTATACGGTCTCATCCGAAGGACCGGTCTCCACGTCCCACAGTGGGATTCGAACATGCAATGTTATAGGATTGACTCCTTACTTCGCGACTCTAGAGCAGACGCTCTAACCCCTGCGCCACGTGGACACGAGTCATTCGAGAAAAAAGATTTACTTGTGTCGCGTTCCATTATACTGAATCTGTGACAAAAATAATTTTAACCTTTCAGAAATTATGCGCATAAAATCTGTAAGGGGATGAAACAGAAACCTATGGTGTCCTGATAGGACCATTAATAAAAGTGTGAAAGTGCGTTAGGAAGAACGCACTAACGAGAAGAGGTACATGTAGTGCATAATTCACAAAATACCGTCTCATAAACACACAAAACGTCGACACAATATCTCAATTTTACGCAACAAATCGTCGTGCTAACATACAACACACCATAATGCTTACAGAACTTTAACAAGAAGCCTTCGAGCTAATATACACCACGTCGTCACGGTTACACAACGTTACATATAAAGCCTTGCGCAAGCAAGAAAAAACCATGGAAACACTAAGAATAACATAACTTACACAGTCCATCGTGTGTAATTGACGTGCCATTACAAATGTGATAGTGCTTTGTTAGAAACGCGATAGCTTATTGTCAATTGTAGTAGCCCGTAGTCACATGGTATTCCCTTTTTAATATGGTATAAATTGTCACTTTGCTAAAGCATGATTTTAAACTCGTTAGCATATTGTTTGAAACGTTTAGGGCGTTGACACTTTGCGCTCATTCTTACTTCCATACGCATTGCTATTTTTTTTCAAATACAAACGTGTCTTGACATTATTTCAGAATGTGATAACGAATCCTTTGGGTTGGATTGCCGGTATAACTGCAGCGGACATTGTGATGGAAAAGTGCCGTGCAATAAAGTCGATGGACTTTGTCAAGGAGGGTGTGAAGTTGGATGGATAAATCCCTACTGCAATGGAAGTAAGGGTTTACTTTTCCTTTATGATTGTATAGTCGAAAAGATTTAAAATATGTCATTCTTATGGTATCTCTTTTTGGATAATGTTACTGAAGAAGTTATGAATATTTTCTTTTAATCTTCAAGTGAATTAAAATAATAAAGATAAAAATAAATAAAGAAAGAAATATAAATACTGAAAATACTATTCTTATTTTGAAGTTATAAATCTACTTTCATAAAAAGAAAGCTGCAGTAATCTTTAAACTCATAAATGTAATATACTTGGTTCAAAGTACAAATACTGGATTTATTTTCACTGCAAATAGGTTATATTTACTCACCATTGCAGAAAATATAAATGCCAGATTTGTTAAAGATAGACATAGGATAATATTAAACAATAGTGAATGTCAGCGTTAAAAAGTGGTTCAATTGTAATGAACAGAATTATCAACATTTATTTATAAGTGGGTATGCTAATTTGATTGTTACATGCACATGTGATTTATGAATATAATTGAATTATGAATATCAGGAAATTCAATATAATTCTAGATTAGAAATACAACAAACAAATTGCAAAGAAAAAGATTCCTTGCTAGAAGTTATTGCCCTTGGAAACATTTAAGTCAAAACATTTAACGTGAAAACTATTTACTCTCAGTATTGCAATTAAAACTGTATAACATATTTCGTTTTACCTATTAAAATCATTCAACACTCAATAAAAATTGTTCACAAACTCGTAAAGAAGCAACATATATAAAGAACATCAGTGTGCTGACAGGATATTAAAAAAAAACTAATTTTCAAATCTACACATCTTTTTTTTGTTTTATATCTTGAAACTTTAGCCATACAATTTTTTAATCTTCCTTTTATATATGCTGGGAATTTTAAATGCGGGTCTCATTTAATTTATTTTGATCAACTTTTAGAGTTTCATTTGGCAAGATCTGCCAAAAATGTTAATATCTGTGTAGTTATACAAAACATCCTTAAATAAACAAATATTTTTTTAGCTCACCTGAGCCAAAGGCTCAAATGAGCTTTTCTGATCACAATTTGTCCGTTGTCTGTCGTTGTCGTTGTCGGCGTTGGCGTCGTTGTCGGCGTTGTCGTTGTCGTTGTCGTAAACTTTTCACATTTTCATCTTCTTCTCAAGAACCACTGGGCCAATTTCAACCAAACTTGCTATAAAGTATCCTTAGGTAAAGGGGATTCAGGTTTGTTCAAATGAAGGGCCATGTCCTCTTTCAAGGGGAGATAATTAAGAATTAGTGTAAAAGTAATGGTGTATTTTAAAAATCTTCTTCTCAAGAACCACTTGGCCAAGAAAGACGTAACTCATAGTGAAGTACCCTCAGGTAGTGTAGATTCAAGTTTGTTAAAATCAAGACCCCTTTGGCAAGGGTGGGGCCGTAGTGGATGAGTAAATTTTACATAAGAATACATCAGAAAACCTTTAAAATTTAAAAATCTTCTTCCCCAAATCCCATAGGCAACAGAGTTGTGAGCAATTACATTAATGTGCAAGTAGCCTTATGTAGTGCACATTCAATTTTGTCTAGTTTGTGGCCGTACGAAATGATACATGTATCAACAGATTAGGTTAACCTTTATTTATTTTTTCGATCAGGCGCGGTGTACCAAATAAATGAAAACGAGGCACGTCAGCCATTTTTGATGTGGACAGTGAAGAAGTAACTGAAGTAAAGTGAAATTTAGTGTTTACACAGATCTGAAACAAAAGTATTCATTGCCGATTGTTGTTTTCATTCTGTAAGGTTTGAAGAGTAAAGGATTTAGCTGAATAATTATAACCTTGCGTATATTTGTTCATGCAGCATTAATTTGTTTTTATGCAGTGGGCACAGCGATCATACTGCGCAGTTGTCTCTCGGAGAAAAACAAATCCATTTAGATACTGCTACAATTTACTAGTGTTGAAGAAGATTGAGAAGATTATCTATTTTTCAAATTTACATAGTATAACGAAGCGTATTAGTTTGTCATTGCATAACATAAATAGACGAATTTTACTTTTTTTTTTTTTACATTTCTAAGAGTTTCCCCCGTTGTCGGCGTAACGATCTATTTCCCACTGTCTTTGTCCTTTGTAAGTTACTTTAATATTTTTAATCTTCAAAAACATTTTTGTTATCAAACAATTTTTTTAACGATCGTGACTGTTTATTCATTATTAAAAATATTGCTGTATTGTTTATCAAACTATTTATTAACATGTAAATTATAAACATATTCATACAGATTTTATTTTTAAGGAAAATGTTCACTATTTATAAAGTATTTATAATTTTTTTCAAATGAAATTAACAGTGCCTTACGCTGGTTGACTATTGACTTCAATGTCCCCACAAAGGGGAATTACTTATGTAAATGTGAAAGTGTATACAGGGACAACTCTTGCATATAGGTACACCTGTCATGACTCATCAATGCATGTTTATAAAGGATAACTTATTGTTAGTAAAAGTATCAGTACAAGTGTTAATTGAAGTTTGCAGAAAGGAAAAGGATTTTGTGTCAATCGCGGAGACAAGGAATATCACCTGCACAGGTTCCTGACAATTGGTTAAAATAAAGCTTAGTAGATTGTGTAAAATGCTAAAAAAAAAAAAAAGAAAACAGTAGAATAAAAAGACTACAGTAGCCCTTTTCACAAAAATTCTTACGACTAAGATTAAAATTTGACATCTCTGTAAATCCTTTGTTTAATAAAAAACTTTGTTATATCTTAATATAATTCACCATACACTGTTTATTGAATTTGAAATATAAGATTTTGAGTGTGATTACTGTGTTTAGATGTGTAGAAAAGAATTATGAAATTTTGGTCTTAGTCCTAAGATTTTTTGTGAAAAAGGCTACAGATCTACATGCAGTTCATTATTGTTTTATGGGCATTTTTTTATTAGAATAATTGAAAGTTGGAAATAATATTTTGTTAACTTTAAACAATATATTATGATTATTGATATACTGAAACAGAATGGGAATTAATATTTTTAAAAAATTGCATTCAATGGTTATCTTACTGATATTAGTCCCATCTTTCATTAGAATGACTACATGTATTTATTTCTTGGGATTACAAGGTTTAAAAGCAGTTATCCAGAAATAAGACTTGTATTTTTCTTTAATATGTTTTACGGTGTGACAGTTTGGGCGAGCGCACTTGTACCTTAAAAAATACACCTGAAATGTTGATCTGCCACTTCAAACGTCAAGTCGCATGAGACATCTAGATTATTACGTCACACGACTCGAGAGATCGTCAGGGTTAACGGAAACAGCCAAGGGTCTAGTTGAGACTAATAGATTTAGTGCAATTTTTGTCGAAAGACGTTGCAGAGTTATTTTTTGTTTCTTTTTAAGATTTCTACATACTGAAAGTCTTTTATGCCTTATGTTATTATTTATTCGCACAAAGGGTATTGGGTAGCAAAGGAATTCTGGGAAGGTGTCACAACAAAATTTGCTTGACATATGTACAGATTTCATTCCGTATTTCCTCTGTTCTTACACGTAAGTCTATTGAGTTCACTTTGCGACCTTTGCTGCGCTCGCTCTGATTACATTTACAGATTGTCTAGACTAAAAATTTTTTCTTTTGTATAGTAAAACCTTGCACTGGCTTGCAGTATTGTCCATTTCCTGTTATTAGTCTGACCCCATAAACAATCTTGGCGGTATAAAATTTAATCCAAAATTTAGTGTTCATTTAAGGCCTTGATATTGTTTCAACCATTCTTGACCTAGAAGAGGTGATCATTTTTGACAGAGTTCAAGTATTCATAAAATGGTTTTCTTTGCATTTAACAAGTTCCTCATATATTTCTTAGCTTAAATTGTGACCCATATGGGACTTGAAAATTTTAGCACACTCTTTATTCTAGCTCCATATATTCAAAAGTTCAAGACCAAGATTAAAATGTGGTGTTTTTTAGTAAAAAGTAGATCAAACTCCAAGGTCAAGAGGTCAAATTTGGTGGTGCACAAAGAAAGGTCTTGTCACAAGAAATACACCTGTGAAATGTGAAAGCCATAGTGGGAGGAGCCACTCAAAGATTGTAGACAAGGTTTAAGTTTTTGTGGACACAATGATATATATAGTGATGTAATTCAAAGGAATTGATTTTCAAAGAAATTTCAAGGTATTAAATGCTACCAAATTATAACACATGTTAGAGGAATATTTAGAGGAAATGGCTGAATTTAAAGGTTTTGACCAAAATAGCAAATTTTAAGAATCCTGGCTTTGTAATTTCTGATACGAGTTATGAAAAATTAAGGTGCATTTGGTGGCATAACAGAAAAACTTGAAATGGCTTAAAGGGTTGCTTTTATAATTTTAACTGAGGGTTAAATGCAATACCAATGTACAAACAGTCCTCGATAAACATGATAAAAAAAAAAAGTTCTATAAAATTTTATGAAATACCACAATGGTTAGGAATGTAATTTGGATTATTGCACAAAAGCTATGCCAGTAAATCTTGTATACATTTATATGGTACATATAATTTTAGGAAATGTGTGACACATGTTCAAGGTAAGTCTTGTGTGAAAATGGTTTACAAATTGCATGTAACTTGCGTCTCTCTTAAAAAGATTGATTGTATGTTATTTAACAACCCTCTGTATTTTTCACTCATATGAGATGCCACCACTTGCAGCACAGGACCTCTGTTTATATGGTCTTGTCCTACGGACCATTCTCCACATCCCACATTGGGATTCAAGCCAGCAAACTAAGGATAAACTCCTGAGTTTGTGCCTCTAGAGCACTCCTACCACTGCCCCACACAAGTGACCTCTTTAACTGAATGTTGTCATGTTTTAGGTGTAATTTTGAATTTAACTTTCAGGTTTTAATTTTTTTCAACTTTCTGCTTTCTTAAATTTGATTTGTGCTACAAACTTAAAATAAGTGTATAATTTTAATACCCCCCGGTAGTATCTGCATTTTACAGTGATGGCAGCATTATTAATTTGA